AAAGTTATTAAATTGTAGTTTTATACTTTTGTTACTAGACAGCATTGTTTATTTTTAGATGTCGCAAAAATGTACTTTTACAGAGAAATGTATACCATAATTCCAATCTATCTAATTTAAAGCTTTTACAAACATACCATTCTAATTTTTATTTGTGGCAATTATGACTAATACACACATAAGCATTCGTCTTGAACTGAATAATTTTTTTAATACCACAGTGGAGGAAATCAAGCATTCGATCCATCTGGTGGTTTATCACATGGTTACCGTAGTCTATGGATGCCTGAAATACTAAGGATCTCATATGGGCGTTACCTACTATATGAAATTTTGTAAGTATTTTCAAAACAACGGGGAGTATACTAGTACAGTAATTAAATTACAAAGATTAGAATATCCAACGGAGCTACATTACTGTGTCTGTCATGCGGTTGACTGGTTTTTTTATAGCATTCACCTTGATAGCCATACATTAGTTTAACAGAATAAATTAATTAATTGATGGCTAGACTCGCGTGATTTGTTCCTATAACAAGCTTTGCCAATTGACAATTGGATTTTTAAGCGAGGTCCTTTAATTGATATATATATATATATATATATATCTGTGAATAAATAGAACAAACAGCTTATACAAAAAGATTTTTGTGTTAATCGATTATTTATTATTATTTTGTTTAATATTGAAACTTGGATACTACCCATAGTAAGATATGTTGATATTGTTTACTGAATAAACTGTGTATAAAAGTATACTACAATAATAGTAGTGATAATCTAGTATTTCTGTCTATTTGTAACAGTAAGCCAGGTTCTTTATGACAACTGTGGGAGGAAATGACAAAGAACATGAGTAATAATATCCATTCTTTTATTCTAAGTAAAAACATGGATATCTTTGTTGATTTAGGATTTACTGTTTAGTATATTGTTGTGATTTATGTGATTGTGTATACAAGATAATTTCAACATAATAATTTATTACGTGTAATGAAAGATAGACTGATTTACTGAACGAATAAAAATATTTCCACGTCTGCACAGGATTCAGTACTGGATTAAACCCGTGCGGGTTTGTTGCAAATTTTTTCATGATTCAATTTGCTAATGAGTTTAAAAAAATACTTACAAAAACGTTTACCACAAGACCACATGACACGAACAGCACCGATCCCACAGGACGCAGTAGACCCCGTCTCATAAGGATGTCTGTTATTAATAGGGATTGACTAGACGGGGCGAACACAAATAAATTATTTTTTGTAAATAAAAAAATATTACGCTTGTGTAATGACTTCAAGATGAGACAAAAAATCGCATTAGAAGCTTATTTATGTTTGTTCATGAATCTTATTTGAAGGCTATTAAAATAATGGCAAAAATTCGCGTACCTACATGTGTTTAGATTTCATATACTTTGGTAATAGTAATAGTATCTTCTTTTAGAATAAGTATATAGGTAATATCTATTAGGCATGTTACAAAATCACTAGAAAATAATAAATATATGTGAAGCCCTGTATCGCAACCTATAACCATAAAAAGTTGAGGCAAGTTCATATAAAGTCAAGTCTGTTATTTTCTTATTATATTTAATGCTCAATTTAACAATTTTGTTACAAGTAGGTACATTTTCCTAGTGAATAACCAATATCTTTCTAAGGTAAAGATTCCATCATCGATATATTTATATATAAAATAAGTATCTTATCTGGTAACACAAATATAGAAGAGTACTTTGATAATTGACTAACGAAAATGGATACAGGTTATTAAACAATAGTTTTAAAAATATATTTTATACTACGTTGGTGGTAAACAAGTATACGGCCCACCTGATGGTAAACAGTTACCCTATGGACGCCTGAAACACCAGGGGTGTCACCTTCACGTTGCTGACCCTTAAGAAACCTTCATATATCCTTTTTGAAAAACCCCATGATAAAAAATCTACTTATTAAAATAGTTATATTTTTAAGATTATCAGTATAATATTAAGTCGTGTATGTTTTATGAATTTTACCATATCCTACTAATAGAATCTTAATTCCAAAAGCTATGTCTTAATATTGTTCTAAAAGAATGTTTTGTATTTAAAGTAAATAGGAAAGAGAGAGTTTAGACGAGAGGGTAGCCTTATTATTTATTGCGAATGTTAGCTTTCACAATTAGGTAATAGGTACAATTAGTGAATTAGATACTGTAACAACTCATGACATTCATACATATGTACATACAAATATATACATACGAATGTTATATCAGATATGACAGTCAAAAGCACGACAATACTTTTAATAATTGTCGAGGTGAAGAGAAATCAACATTTGATATTAATACATTTTGGTGATTATTTTCACTTGCAGAGGATGAACCATATTTGTTTTTTTTTTTATCGTTTAATTTTTTTGGTTTCTTATTGGTGTTTTTATCACCGAGGAGAGCGAATGTCGAGTAGATTAGCAAATTCAATAAATAGTGCATGAATATTTTACTTGCCCATTGCTGTTGCCAGCCGGGATGTTTAAATAGCAAAATACCGGCATTATTTGTTGCCAATATTAGAGATTAATATCGAGGTTTGTAATCCTTGTTGAATCAAAGGCACATTATCAATGTTCAGTGGCTTCTAACACAAATAGTTCATGAAATTACGTTCTATTGTGGAAGAAGTATGGTTATATGAAGCATTTAATTTCAACTATATTTTAATACTCGAGATTATGTAAATAAAAAATTTTAATATTTTCTTCGGTGAACCGAACAAATTCTTATGCGCATAACTTGGCTTGGTAGCTAAGAGATGTGTTGAAGGTATAGGTATAGCTGGGTGTGTATAATACAAACTATATTTCATCGAAAATATTATACACAATTGTATATTTCGTTTAAATGTAATTAAATATATTTATTCTGTAGATTACAACGACTCCTTAATGCTTATGTTATCAATACATATTTGTATATATTCTCCTACATTAAGATATATCACATTTTCGCAAACATCCAATAATATTTTATTGTATGTCAGTGATCGTTTGATAAGTCTACGTCCAAACACTATAAATATTTATACTTAACTAGAAGTGAAATAATTAAGAATAATTATAAGATGTGTATTTATATTATAAGTAGCTGTAGCTGCGATTTCACCGGCATGAAGTTTATAGCATATGTAAGATTCCTATATTACTGTAAGGTTCCATCGAAATCCGTTTAGTAGTTTTTACGTGAAAGAGGAACAAACATCCATCCACCTATCTAAGCGTCCATACTTACAAAGTATGTTAGTATGATAGTTAGTATGATAATGATTTCATTAATTAGTAGAGTATTATTATATAATAATAAAGTATGTTACGTGCTCTTAAATTATTTATTAATGATACCGTTAGAGAACAACTAACACTATAATTAGTTTCATAAGACTTGGGACTATCCATATGAGAATTGAGCCCAAGTTGAAACCTGTACCTAATGGGGTTAAAAAAGTAAAGCTTTCACAATTTCACATATAAATAAATATATATTACAGTGTCAGAAGAAAATTATTTTGTTCCAAGGTGATTCGTAGTGTAGCACGCCTGGATGTCGTGAAATGTATGCAAAAACACAACGATTAACTTTACCATTAGCTCTTATGGGAATTAATTCAAAATAGAATCTATGTAATAATCTGTTGTTTTAAAAAATAAACGTTTGCCAAGTTTCAATCTAAAATATTTAAATTTTAATTGAGGCGGCCTTGAATATGCGGTCAAAAGTTTTAAAAAGAATTTATGCTAACAAATGTGAGCATATATGCCGTACTGTAAAAAATAATTAAGATATTTTCTTCCCAGGGACATAAGCTTGATCAGAGGAATATGCATTTATTTTACAAAAAGAAACAAAACACAAGGCTGCCGTTTGAGATTCTCTTTTTATAATTTTTTTATGTATATTTATTGGTTTTTGCATAAGCAATCCTAGTTAGCAATACTTTTCTTACATTCTTAGCTAATAACTTTTTAGAATTTTGCATATTTCAATAAGTATATTCCTATATAACAAATTAAGTGAAATTGTGAAAGGTTAATGGTCGTTTAATTACGTTGTTTTTTCTGCAGTTTATAAACACGTACTATTTAAAACAGGGTGTTTTAATTTTTTTATAAGTTCGCGCGCGCTTGTTTGTCAAAGACCTGATGTTATGAGTGAAATGTCAGAGATCAGAGTTTAATCAAAAAGCAAATAGAGCCTACATTATTGGACAAAGCTAAACAAATGTTGCCATGGCCATCTATCATGATCATTCTTATTACTATGATGAGGGGATTGTGTTTAATACCTCTCGAAGACCGAATAGCTTTAATAAAACTAGACACCCATAATTTTTGGTATTAAAAATACCAAAGAAATAAATTTACGTAGCAAATAAGACTTACTCTTATATTTTTAATTTATTTAATTCAACAAATAATTTCTGTGTATGCCAATAGAGCAGACATATTATAATATGTCTAAGAAATTATAGTATATTAAGATCTTTGAGTATATAGTAATAATTAATATTTTTAATCAATTACAAGTATATAATTAAAGTATACAAATATATAATTATATTCTTTTACACCCTGAGTTGATAAAACTATTCCTGCCATGTTTACCTTTCACTTGACGGCAAATACGAATATCAGCTGTTTGCTGACCACATAAATAGTAGCAAATTACGACTGCTTTACCTCATAATGTTTATGCGAGTGCTACCGTTCTGCTGCAAACGTATATCCACAACCTCATAAGATTTATGATCGAACTCTTTCATTATTGCTACCATTATGGATTTCTAAACATTAATAGACGCGTGTGGAGATTATAAGCTAAAATCCTTTAAATTATGCTAAGCCATAAATTATCGCCGCAAATATTAATAGATTTTATATCTTGTTACAGATAAATTGGCGGCGGATGGGTATCTTTCGATGATGTAATGACGGAATTTAATACAAGACATGATGCTGGACATCACCGAAATAAAGTTTGATGATTATGAAACCACTACGTTTTATACAGAACCAAACAACAATGGCACGCCAGCTGGTGAATTTCATTTGAATAAAACTTTTGCCACGAATTCAACATGGCTGGATTACGACGCGGTGTGTTCAGCAGGTCAAACGGAGGACTTTTTGACATCACCTTTATTCCAATCGTGTGTGTATTTGATGTACTGCACAGTATTCATTGTCGCGCTTTTAGGAAACGGACTAGTTTGTTTTGTGGTGCAAACGTCACCTCGTATGAAAACGGTTACAAATTATTTTATAGTGAATCTTGCGGTAGGTGATATACTGATGACACTGTTCTGTGTTCCGTTTTCGTTTGTGTCTATGTTAGTGCTAAGGTATTGGCCGTTTGGTGCCGTGATGTGTAAAGTGGTGAATTATTCGCAGGCAGTGTCAGTTCTTGTTAGTGCTTATACGTTATTGGCTATTTCTATAGATAGGTATATGGCAATTATGCGTCCTTTGCGGCCGCGCCTCGGAAAGGCGGCCGCTAAGTTCGTGGTGGCTGCGGTGTGGGGTGGCGCTCTGGCCACGGCTGCACCAATTCCAATAGTATCGCAAGTGCAGCGACCAACGGATTGGCATCGATTCTGTCAAACGTAAGTATGTAAAGTAGACAAGTTTTTTAAATTGTTTATATAATAATTCTTAAAAGTAGGACTATATTTACTGTAGTAAACAGCGTTGACAGTCTCAATCTCACCAACACTCAATCTCAATAAAGCTCTTAGATACACGCAGGACTCTGATATTCTTAGGAATGTGAATAGACGTAAGCGTTGCGGCGTAACAAAATGAAACTATCTGCAGTATTCTGTTTTATTGTGTTTCGCATTGTTAATTATTTTTAATAATTCTATATACTCATTTAAATCTAGTATTAAAAATATTGTTGTACGTATTACACTACACATGTTCAGAGACATATCTTGTAAGAATTTGTCGTAAAGTACGCTCTCCTTGTACTATTTACTATTTTATTATTAATAATATATATTTATTAAATATAATTTTACATAGAAATGGCTGTTTACTGTCCCTGTATTGTTTTTTATATATATTATGTAGATCTATGATATTATAATTAATCTTAGTCGTCTATTCTCTCATTGATGATTTTCTGTCTATGTATCTAGATTATTGTCAGGCGTAATAAATTTCAGCCGAACCGTAATATTGTACTCACTTCGTCTAAATGTACTGTATGTTCTTATGTTACATAGATATTAGATACAGGTGAAAAAAGCGGATATATGAGTAGAAGCGAACAGAAATGGAGAGATATTGTATGTACTTACGTGTGAAGATTTATGACGTAGGCTTTTTGTCCTTCTGATTTGTTACGCAAAAAACTTTATATTGTATTATTGTACTAAACCAACTTACAAACGGTACAAAATGTTCACAGAGATATTTGCCTCGAACAGTGGGAACGCGAGCAAAGTGAGCAGTACACATGTGCGTTGCTCGCGCTACAGTTCGTGCTACCGCTAAGCGCGCTCGTGTGCACATATGCGCGCATAGCTCACGTTGTGTGGGGCGGACGCCCACCCGGGGAGGCTCAGTCGGTACGCGACACGCGTATGCAACGTTCTAAAAGAAAGGTAAAGCATAATAATATTTACTTATATTCTACATAAAGCATTGACAAGACTTACAGTTTAACAGAGCCGGGCATGTAAATTTAATGATAATATACAAATTTGAGGAGAACTGGTGGCGCCTAGTAGATATCCAAAAAACTTGTATAAGTCACCAGATCTCGCATTATAGCTTATATTCTGAAAATTACATGAACTATTAAGCAGGCGGCTACTATGTATAAGGCATGGGAAGAATAATGTTGTGAAAATAATATTTATTTATAACTTTGCACACAAAAATTTATACATGGCTGAATAAATGCCTGACGGCATTCCCTGCCAGTCAACCGTTACGCTGATCAGAGATAATAAGCAATGTAATTTGTCGATATATGTTCATAAAACAACAATATAGTGCATAGATTCAATAGTTTTATTATACCTACACTCACACACATAGATAGACGACGCAATTAAGTCAATTGAAACAAAAAGCATATCATAGTAAATTACTGGGCTCAGACTCTACAGTTACAGGGTTAATGGTAATAGGTAAATTAAGTCGGGTAAAATATCAATAAAACTGAACGACTTTCACCAAGAAACAAAAAAAAAAAACTAAGAGGAGAAAATTTATCTTGTTATTCTAAATCGATCATATGATTGCACAAAACGTATGAAAGTTTTAAACTTGTTTTCAATTTACATATTGTGTAAATTTATTCAGTTTCATGAATATTATCACTATTAATGGCTTTCGGTTGCACGACAGTATCACCACAAAGAGGAAAGATTTTATTCTTCTTTTGTATTATCAAAAAAAACTTTAAAATTTATTTTACTTCTTAAAAGCTAGTTTACATTATCAGCAGATTATATGGGCTTTATTTAGTTTTAAAAAACTGAGAGATATGTACAATAAATATAATAATGTAACCAAGGATAAAATAAAATCCTATGAAAATTATTATTTGACGTGCCCTATGAAAAATACTGTTAACACAAAAAACAACGTTTATAGTATACATCATTACTCGGGAACAAAAGTCTATTATCTCTATTACAGTTAGGTAAGTCACAATAAGAGTTTTTTTGTTCAAATTAATCAAAATGTGGATAAAACTTATTCTAAAAAGCTATTAAAAGTAAGTTATTTCGTAGGTAATACTAAACTTAATCTAAACAATAGATTTATTTGTAAAGGTATAAAGGACATGTATCTGCAAGTAAATCCCTTTTAAAATTATTTGCCCGGACCTTTCGTTTAGAAGAGTAAGTACAGTGCGTAAAATGACCTACGTAATTATTTATTTATTATTATGTACCTCACAAAAATAAAATAATATTATCATACTATAGTTCTTAAAAAAACTAATTTAAATATATACTTATAGGTTTAGTGCAGAAATAATAATATAATAAAAAGATGCAAACATTGCAAACAACAATAATAACATTTCATTGTGACAGATTAAATAAAGGCATAGGATCTATGTATTTTTTATTCTAAATTGGTTCTTTAATACGAATTGCATAATAAAATTATTCTAAATAGTATCAAGAAAAATTTGCTCTAAATCTCACTGCAATAACTTTAAATTAGACAGGTGTTTATGCACTTCTTTCAAGAGGAACAGGGGATTGTTCCGAATCTCTTAATTTCGTAAATAAATACATAAAGAATAATGGTACGCACTACGTGTAAGTCGATACTTAAACAAGTTAAATTAATCGAAATATTAATCGAAGCAATAGTAATAATTTACTTTACTTTGATTTAAAATATCAATATTGGATATAATTCGTAAACAAGTATCATGTACCAAATTATTTATAAAGTAATGATACCTATAAGCACTTACATAAAATAATATTACGTTTTTGAAAGCCATATTAATCTTATTTTATCAAAACTTTAGTCAGTATATTTTATCTACAGCAAATTAATGTATCCACTTAATTAGCATCAATATCCTATTCTATTCATACCTAGCTACTTGCCCCGGCTTCGCTCGGGTGTACATGTATTTTCCACCGTATATACAAAATCCGTTGCGTAGTTTTAAAAATTTAAGCATACATAGGGACAGACAGCGATAGCAGCTTTGTTTTATACTATGTAATGATTAAAGGAATAATGGGTATGACGCATTACCTTAACTATATATATAGAAAATGCATATTCTGTGTCGAAATTATATTTTTTTTTTATAAGAGAACATTTTGATTCCAATTCTAGAAAATTACAGAATTGAAGCAAACCTCAGTCTAAAAATATTTTTGATCTGAGTAGGGAGCAGATAGTAAACAACGCAGATACGATATTTAGATAATTAGTCATAACGCCGACGTTTTGTTTACAAAGTCGTCTCGATATAAATAACAAAGTCTTAATTTATTCGTACAAGTTTAAAAATGTACTGTACTAACAATCAAAGGGATTCCGGTTTCTAACTAAAAAATAAGAATAGTAGGTATAAATTAAATAACTGAGAAAAATTGTGCAGGTATTTCTGTAACTATCTATATTTTGTTATATAATCAATTATACGTATTATATATAAACATGAATAAATCAATTATACCTGTGGATTTAATTTCCTGCAATTCCATGAAAGCGCAGAACTAATTAATATTATTAATTAGTTATGGAAATTGAACTAGAGAGAAGTTTTGTACAAAGTTGTCTGCTTAGGTATTCTTTCATATGTCAAACAGCTTAGTTTGCGAGCTATGCTCTATTTTGGAGAATTAATTATAGTATTGTAAATACAGTGTACGCACACTAGAAAACAATCACATGATCCATTAGATGGTAAGCAGCTTATGAATTTCAGCTATACAAGGGCATTATGTGCGCGTTGCCCATTTTGAAATTTAATAATCTATAAACGGGTATTAGTGTTGCATAAATAAATGATATAAAGGGTATAAGTTCAGTTGGTAACATTATATCATTAAGAAGAAGCATCCAGAGGTGATGTGAATTCATTTTAATATAATCTGTAATTACAAGGGTGCTTATTATATTTATTTTTAACGGTCCATCTCTAATAACTGACACTTATTTCAGATGATCAAAATGATGGTGACCGTTGTTGCTGTGTTCACCGTGTGCTGGCTACCGCTCAACGTATTCATTGCGAGTACACATTATTATTAATTATTATTCATAGACACAGTCGTTTTTTAAATACAATCGATGAAAAAAAGAATGGAGTAAGATTACAATTTTTGTTTTCATTATCAGGGTATTGTAGAAACAAGTTAATACAACTTTGAAGGATAATAAAACTAAGATGCCGGGTCATATTGGACTAATTGACAACAGCCTAATGGTCAAGTGGTTAGCACACCACCTTACTTTCAATGGTCGCGGGTTCAATTCCTCGCAGGATGCAAATTTTTTTATTCATGAGGTGTGATTGTTTGTTTCGGTCTGTGTGTTTTCTATGTGTATTATGTATGTATTAACAAAAAAACTGTTTAAGTATTTGTATCATTTGTCTAGTAATGCACATAGTGGGGTCTACATGGCGCTATGTGAATTGTCTAGGGTTGTTATTTATATTTTTATTCCTCTTCTTATGTGAAGAGTAATTAATTATCAGTACCCATCACAGTCCCATCATAATATGTTAATAATAACAGATCATCTTATTTTTTATTCTTAACATCTTAAAATTAATTATAATTAGTAATACAATAAACCTGTCATTCATAACTGTAAACTAAATAGATATTTATATAAAGTAGGACTTCAAGTTAAAAATAAGTGAATTAATCTAAAAAGGGTCGTCAAAAATAGATATTTTCGGTCTGAGAGACCTAAGTGAGGTCTGTGTGCAATTAACTTGTTCAGTGCTGTTCAAGGGTGGGATGTTCTACCTTCAATACAACCTTTAGCTGTAGGTAAAACCCTACAGCATTATTATCTCAGGTAAATAATGATAACTGGACCAAATTACACCTAAATAGATTTACTAAATTATCATTCATCATTATTTTTTATTTACAGTTTGTTCCTTATTATATGTTTTTCTATGTTTTCTAATTTTCATTGGACAACGGTTTTTTCTTTAAATATTATAAATATATACATTTTTTAATTTGAAGATCTACACACGAATGCAGGAGTAATAAATTTAAATTTTTAAACTGTCAACCCAGCTTTGTAAAAGTTAAAATGTATATGTATTCACTAATAAAGATAACTGTCAACATCCTTTACTAAACAAACTACGAGTATAAGAATGACTAGAATACTTAGCAGTTTTATTATAAATAAGTATTATATTATTTGTGTTTTATAATTTTAAAGCTGTTCTTTACTATCTCTGATTTGAAAATAGCTTAAACCACCTACCTAATATTTCTATTCCGAACTTCCTTAATCATTAAAATTATATATATAGGAATACAAACCTCCTGAGTTATCTAATACTAAAATTATCCTAAATATTATTAAAATTAAAAATCAGTTTAAAAAAAAGACTAGTGTCTTATTTATATTAATCTCTCAAAAAGTAATAACAGTGCAAAAGATTTCGAAATTAATTTGTGTTTTATGGCTAAACTTATTTTAATTACAGTGACATTATATATTTACTAAGTATTTTTTACGTAATATAGTTGCGTTTCTATAGAATTTTATGATATTATAAACATTGAACACCAAATAAAACAAGACAAAATTAAATAATAGAAATTAAGGATATTGTACCTTCTATCATTACATTTATCTTGGAAACAAAAGATTTATTGAAATAATACCCAGTAGCTTCACATTGACATTGAAATAACAAATCAGTTGTTTTGTCTATTACCTTTCAGTCGCTGGATTTACTTTTCTGTAATACAAAGGTAAAACCAGACAGCCGTTTATGATAAATATAACATTATCTAAATCGGTAATGTCCTCAATGTCGCACTGAGTTTTTATAAATATTATCAGGGGTTCAGTTATCGGATGCCTTCAGTTTTTCTGAAATAGGTGTGGGCTTGATTTTACTTCAGCGATGTTACAACTCTTGCTTTTTATAACGCTGAGTTTCACAATGTAATGCACGAGGGAAGTGTACTGATCTTGTAGTAGATATTTATTATATTTGCTGTTTACACATTAATAAAAACAGGAAATACCTTACGTAGTTCCAATAATAAAGTCTTATTCTCTGCAGCATTTTAACCGACTCAATAAACTATGTGGATTCTTAGTAATTTAGCGACTTGAGTGTATTTTGTTTTCAAGAAATTGAGGCAGCTATTTTTTAATGATCTTAAATAATAAATATAAGATAGAGTTTCTATGGTATTCACTTATATTTTATGTATTTGTTTTATTTATCTAAACATTTATTTTTTCGAATTTTATAAAATATTTGAAGTCGTAATGTGGCTGACTTAACAAGATATAAACCTATTCAAAATTGATAAAGTTAAATATATCTTGGCTACTATTACATATTATCCACAATATTATCTATTTCATACATTTGTGTGTTAGTACGAGTTCCTTTATTCGATTCACACTATCATTTCCAATTATCTTACTCCCTGCGGCGCTAACAAAATAAGCGAAAATCGTTTGAGGTTGACAGCGCTTTTTGTAATTTTATTTACGTGTACACAAATATTCAATTATTATGATTTTATAATACAATTAGATTTTATATCACAATAATTTAATTTAAGAATACCTAACTGATTGTTATCCTATATGAGGTGGTAAGAGGCATTGACTGTCACGTCATGGATGTATTTAAAACCCAACATTGTAGAGAAGGAGTTGTGTAATTTCCTTAATCACTAATTAATCAGCATCATCTACAAAAAAATGTTTTGTTATACTTGTTTACCTATAATTTGAGAATGACGATCAATTAATAATAAGTAATGAAATAAAAATTAATAGTGTAATGTTAGATAGATAGTAATTTTTATTTGTATCTTAGTAATTTGTTCATCTAAAGCAGTAGACATATATTTTATTTTGGGGTTTAATTTTATTTTTCATCTTATCTCTCATCTCTGAATTCGAATAGCTGTGCTATATGTGACGGTGGTATAACTATAAGAATATATGGTGCCATATGTATATAGTTATATGACTATTCAATTTCTCTAAATGATAGGTAATAAAAAGCTTATCAAAATCCGTTACGTGGTTTATAGGTAGAAATGGTTAGCGATTATAAAGACATGCATGAACATCGACTTTGTTTTATAATATTAGACATAAATGATTTAAGAATAGAGTAGAATTTTAGGAGTCGGCATCATTATCTATAGATTTTTGACTCAGGTTTTGTGGACCATCCACGAGGATGACGAGAGCTGGGCAGCGTGGCCGGGCATGCCGTATGTTTGGTTCGCAAGCCACTGGCTAGCAATGTCACACTCCTGCTATAACCCCATCATATACTGCTACATGAATGCACGCTACAGACGGGGTTTTAAACAGGTAGTAACACTGTTCGCTTAATTGTAAACTTTTATCAGATAACAATCTACAAATTTGTATATTACTATAAGCGCATTCAATATACTATGCCTCAAATTGAGAGTACTTTACTGAAGACGAAAGCCTAATTAATGCAATATTGTTTGATTTAGGCACCCTTAAGTAAAATGGTTTTTTTATACTACAATCAATCTGTGGCAATCAAGCATACAGTCCATCTGATGGCTACCGTAGCCTATGCACGCCTGAGACACCAGAGGTGTGCTGCCGACACTTAAGAAACCTTAATATACTTCTTGAAAAACCCTATGCTGTAGTCTTGGAAGAAGAGGAGCTCCTCTGAAACCGCACTCTCCGAGACCACTTAAGTTCTAGTGTGTGGAGACAAATTTTCTAACGATGGCGAGCAGTTCGATGGGTATAAGCTACACATCGAACAATTCCTCAGAACAATTGTTAATAATTTTATTTTTTAAGTATAAGAAAACATTAAAATAGATTATTTTGTTCATAACACGACATTATTCCGCTAATTCTGTACCGTGCTTTACTGTTTCATTTTATGATTCTAAAACTGATTTACGTTTGTTCCATACTTACTTTAGTATACAATAATTGTGTGTTATATTAAATAACTATAGTAATTTTATACATCGGAATAAATAAAAATACATTAAAATAATGAAAACAAATGACTATGTCAATATTAATAAAGTTGTATTATTTACAGGCCTTATGTTGTTTGCTGCGTATGCGCCTGGATCCACCATCGCGATCATACCATCGTTCTAGTATGTGTGATGGAATGCCCATGTCTGGTAAGAATTTTACATAACTTTATTTATTTCCTGAAATCATTACTTTAAAAATTGCATGTAAACTAGTTGATATTACTTGATGCTTGTTAGGTAATCGCTAATAATGGATCCTGACTCAGATCTTTATGTACCCACTCATAAAATAATTATATTTATGTACTATATATTCATTTTTAAATTAAAATACATATAGTATTTTTTTAATAAAAAGTTAATTATTTTCTAGGTAAAAATAGAAAGAAGTTTCGACAACGTCGATTTGAAAAAGTATCGTTAAAATGCATAATTGCTAAATATATCGCATAACATAAGTATAAATTATATGACTGTCAAATTAAGGTAGTCCAAAGACTTTAACTTTATTAAAAACACATACTTGTGTTTTAGTTGATTTGCGTGTCTACCGGACAAATTTTAGTTAGCTTATAGTAACGGCAATAAAGTATAACCAGATTGAATAATAATACCTACAGCAAATAATACAAATATAAACAAACCCACATACGATACTGGTTTTGAAATATTTAATTAGAGCCATTTCGGTTAAAATTCATTATTACGCGGGGTTTGCGTATACCCACTCGCAAAATATACGCGTAATTAAAATTAGTCAGGCAGGTCTTTGTCCTGCAAATAAACGGACATTGAAATTAATCTACAATAATGATCGAACTGTGTGGTATTTTAATACAGATCCGGTTAGCCATGATTATCTGTGATGGAGTAGGCGTTTTCATACATTAAACAACTAAACTTCAAGTTTATAATTCCGCTATGCTATTTCGATTTATAATTTTTCTATAATTTCTTGACTAAACAGAAACAGAAAGATAGAAAGAGCATAAAAAAATAGACTGTGTTATATTCTCATAATATTTATATACGTAATATTATCTCATCTATGCCTATACCACAAGAGCAAATATTCGATGTAGAATCTAATATAACATCTTACTTGTAAAATATATTTCATATAAGTCGTTCGGTTATACATTTGATAATATTTCATTTCTTGGCTATATTTTATAAGAACAGTTAACCATTTTTATAATAATATATTCTATATAGGTATATGTCATTGCCTTTTTTGTATTTAACTATATACAACAGAATACAGTAGAATATTAATTCATTTTAATAAATTAGCATTTTTCAATAGTTCCGGTCTATTTAATTTATTATTCATTCCTTTTGAATATATCAAAATAAAATGTCACTGATACATTTAATAGGTTCATGACAGAGAAACACCGTAACAAAAATTTTTGAAAATTGTTATAACAGAATCCTGAGCATCTGTAATAAAAATATTGTATTTCTGTCTAAGCTAATTGATAAATTGCGTTTGAAGTATATATATAAAGAAATTATCACAGAAATTTATCATTTTAACGGATTATATTTAAAAGTATTAAATAAAAAATATTCTTCTTTTGTATATAACTGCATAATTAATTGATTTCATGATGCTATACTTACGTAATATTGATTTTCGTGAAGCGCGTCTTGTTTAAATCCCACGCGCGTAAAACCACGCCTATAAGTAAATTTAGAGAAATGTAACATTATATAGAAGGGCGTGCGGGCGTAATGCATAGTAAAGTAGATGTCAGCATTTCAAAGAGCTTAGATTATCTGGTGGCCTGGCCGGATATCAATCATTCTCCCGGCGCCCGTTCGGACATTTTTTTATCCGCGACACAAATGATCAAATGCCGCGCAGGTTTATAGTTTTCTCTATATAATGTGATACATGTGCATTTTACTAAATATTTTGGTTCTAACATCTAAGATTTTGTATTTTCGTATTGAATGCTCAACCATAGTATTGAAATTTTGTTTCACGAAATAAATTTAGTTTAGTGACGTCAGTAGTAATTAGTATACAATGAATACTGGAGTCAAACCTTGCAGTTATGTAATAACTATCAACTCAGATGAAAAGTAGAATATCACGTAACATACTTACTAATATTTATTAATTAATTTAATATAATGTTTATTAGTTGATACTGTTTAATAATTATAATAATCAATTAGCTCATTAAAGTTGCAACGTATTAAAAAAAATAGTAATCTACATATATAAAATTTGATATTTGTCACTAAAATTCGAGCCGAAATTGTATTTAAAATATTCGTAAAAATATAAAAGGCTCCATATAAACTGTCCGTATTTCAAGTTCGAGTTGTTAAACAAGGCGCATTCGGAAATTAATATTGCTACTTTTATGAAGAGAAATTCGGAAATCAATTTGTTTACTCTTCTATTTTATTAATGTATACATGCATATGGTATGTACATTATAATTATTCGTTATGGAACACCGATACATTAAATTATTCTGTGTCGTTAGGAAGTTCAGCGAACTTCATAATTCGATACTGCAATAATATGTATTCTATAAAAGTAAATATTTAATATTAAAAATTTATAGAATTACCAAATGTCTAACCTTAAATAAACATTGCCAATATTTAAGATGCTGTGGTCGACAATCAAAACGACTATTGAAAGAATACGTATTTATAAAATATATGTCAAGTATGAGTATATATTAATAGGTAAACTGGTTTACCCGTGGTCATGGCCGTTGAAATACTGCCGAAATATCGGGAACACTACAAAAATATAACGTGGTAAGATCCCGTTATTTACTAATTATACTTATAAATAATGACCGCGTCAAACTTAAAACAGTATATTAATAATTGTCATATATATATAGTGCATCCGGATTCTGTGGGCGCTGTATCAAAAATCTACATACAAGTACATAATTTTGCCATTGCGAATTTTCCGCCCCATTTTTCCCATAAGCTCCATACAATACCATAACAGTCCTTTAACGCCCACTGCAATGCAGGGGTGTTTCCCCATAAAAGGAGAATATTAGCTGACTATTATCACAGCAGCCATTATTTCGGATTTTATTTCGAGTTTTCTTTCCTTGCAATGGCGTGCTTTGTTCCACTAGTTGGCTTTTATGACAATGTGAGAACGCATTATACTCTCTTCTTATTTTGAAACTAAAGAATAGGATAAAAATAATTCATATTTATCCGTACGTAATTTTTTTTTAATAATCGCAATAATCGCAATTTATATTTTTCTTAGCTAATGCTAAGAAAAATATAAATTCACACAATAAAAATTCATCATTTAATTCTCCCAGATATTGATAATTGTTATAAAACCTTCATATTTAAATTAAGTATTATTTAGAAATTTAATCTCTCCTTTACAACATTTAATAAAAAATCGCAACAATTAATTCTAAGAATTTATAACGAATCTTCAATATATATTTATAGGATGTTGTATTTTAATATCAAATATAATAAAATGGACGCCGAAAGTTTCTTATTGCTACAAAACTTTAATAATTAGCAGCGTTGGACTACATTGTGGTGAGTGAGGGTGGAATTCATAATCTGTGTGGAATATCACTAGACTATTAACTATTTATTTGAGTTATATTGTCTTTACTTATCTACATATTGTACCTACATTAATATATCTATATAGGATAACATCTATAAATAGAAAAATGAATCTCTATTTCCTTGAACATGACATTACGTGTAAACGTTAATTCTTTAATTATTTTTTTTATTGTGTTAGTTATTGTATAGGATAACAACGTTATTCTTATCAAGGAAAAAAAAAAGACGCAGAATTGTTTTTCTTAATTTAAATGTCAGCCCAGTCTAAAATAATGGTTTATAAATAGTTTTAAATAAGTTTTAGTAAATACGAACACCTAAACTAGTGGGTAGCTAATTATTAAACTAAGATATAATTTGTGTAAAATAATGCGTAAATTTTCTAGCCAATCTTTTGGGATTAGTAATTTGATTCTATATACATGGTTTATACAGGGGTAAAAATAGTCAATATTTATGAACTTAAATGTAAAAATATTTGCTTAGTACTGGAAAATATAGTAGAGAAAATCACAGCGACTAAATTCTTATTGGAATAAGGTAATATCAGCCACCCGCATACTTTGATTAGTGAAATATTGGATTAAATTAATCGAAGAACACACCTATCGTTTCAATAATCTATTTGGAATCGTGAATTGCTGAACTCGTTCAAGGTTTTCCTTAACAGAGGACCAGTAGGTACGGAAATTCGATTTAGATGGTAGAATAATGACGTAGCAATTTAAAAGTGCTTGTAAGCAGAGCTATTTAATAAAAGACGATTTAAGTTTAAAAATGTAGTATTTATAGTATAGCTGTTTCCTGTGACTCCATCTGCATTTTATTAGGCAAGAAATAGCGTATCATTAAGATCCCTTCAGTCGTTTAGTCGTGAAAAGTGAAAAAGTAGACAGACAGTTACACTTTTGTAATTTAATATTTCATAAATAAATGTAATTACTAAAGTAGTAACAAAAGGTAAATATCGAGATATGTTGCAAAGTTTCTTCTGCTAAGTATAAATATTACCTACGGTATAACCAAAAATAAGGCTATATATTTTATTATTTATGTATCTGTTTTGTTTTTTAAATACTGAAACAGATTTTATTCAACAATCTTAAATGCTTATTTTAACTTTTGTACTTTTAAATTATTACATATACATATATACAATTAAACAAAGAGTCGTATGAATACATGTAAATAAAATAAAATATCATGCAGAAAATAAACTTATTTAAATAACATTAGTTAAATTAATTGATTCTCTTCTCTTTGAAATAAGTTAATAAAAGATAGGAGTGATGTTTTTATCATTTACGTATGTAAATGATAAAAACATCCAATTCCAGTAGAATATTATTATCGAGTAGACAAGTTTAGTGAGACGGGTTTGTTTTAAGTACTATTTTACTGATTGCTAATATCCTAGCTCTATGCTCAAATATACAAAGTACATGTAAAATATATGCATTTACTCATGCAACAACAATAATATATGAAACTTGATAAAACTAATCAACATAAGTGAGGACACTTGACTAGATTAAAGTCATAATTCAGCTGTTTTTATAGTTTAGTCTCATCGCAGTGAAAGTGTATAAGATATAAGAATTTAAATTTTAAAAGAATAATATCCATAATAATATAAAAATATATATTTTAGGATATATTGGGAAAGTTTTATATAAGTAAATAACTACCTATATAGTGTTTATATTATACAACGTGATTAGTCCCAACTTATGTTCAGCGTATACAATTTATTGTTATATGGAAATGGTTTTGAAACCAAATTGATAGTGTAGTCTCTAGTTGAAGAAGTCTAGAATAGAAATATTTGTCCAATCAAAGAGAAAATAAATATGAATACCAAAATAAATAAGTGTTATTGTAAGAGCAAATATGCTCACATTAAAGAAATATTAGAATTGTTACTATAAATAAATTTAATGCAGCAATATTTTTGCAATGGCTGTGTAAAAATATGCTTGAACATTAAAGACTTTCTTTCTTTTCAATAATAGCAATAGCTTTTATTATAAACCCAGCTTAAACTATAACCTAGTATATTACTAACGATTACTACTATACTATTATTTTTTATCTTACTAGTAATATAGACACGAAATGGTGAGTATGAATGTATAGATGAATGGATGTTTGGTACTTACTCTTTCAACCAAAACCTACTAAACGGATTTTTATAAAACTTTACAGTACTATAGATTGTACATCAGAATAACACATTATATATAAATTTCATGCAAGTGAAACCGGAATCACAGTTAGTTTTACATGTATTATTGATAGGTAGCCAATGTGTTAGAAAAATAAATACAGATAATGTTTATGCTTAGATGGCTGTAAATAGTAACGACGGTATCACATTCAATTGAATAAATTCTTTTTCTCTCTTTCCTCATCTCACCGCATAAATAGATACCTAATTCCATTACAAAAGGGTATTAACGTTAATTTACCTTCATGTCCGTGAAGAGTTGTTGATTAAATATCTATTTAGTTCAGCCAATGATTTCAATTAAACTATTATAGATATATGCATCTTAAGACTTAAGTAATTCATAAATCACCATATGAAATGTACCTAAAACATGTTCTAAATATTTATAATAGGATATTTTCCGAATGAAACCGGAATGTACGATTTTTTTTTAATTAACGCATGAGTCTTGTCATGTTACATATCGACATGTCTGGGTATGAGTAGAATACGTAACTTCAACCTGACGTATATTACCACACGGAGCTAGTCTAAAAATACATATGTAAATGTTATATAGAAGTACGTTCGTAGTGATTTAGTCTCTTACCTGAAAAACATATCCGATTATCGGATAAGCAAGAAAAGCCCTCGGGAGTCCTTAGTGACCCTTACCATTTTTTAAGAAGAGGAATCTACAGATGATAAGTAAAATGATAATTCAAGAACAATCTGAGTCTTGAATCTATTATTATGATAAGCCCTTTTTACGAATAATTCGAAGGAGATAGGAAAACGACATAATTTTCTTGTAGAGTTAGAAAGTTCCTTTTTAATCATAAAGATTAAATTGTATTAGTTAGGTTTATAGTTTGATCCCCTTTTAATTGTGTCTACGTTGAATTCGATGTTATAAAGTTAGATATTATAGGTATTATTCATAATTTGGGGGGCGAGTTGTTAGTAATGGGGACTAGTCATTCCATTGATGCGTATTTACATTTTGCTTTATAAAAAGCAATATAACTTGCTTGTTTTGTCTGTGAGTCTTAATTGTAAATGCTTTACAATATTTTTAACGTTTTAAATTATGAAATTGTAAAATGTTTTGGACATTTATCAATTCGAGGCATGATCTTTTAAACCTCCGGAATGGCAACGCATGAGTGGTATCACGAGTGGCATCTCTTATCCTTTTTTCTAAGGACTACTCTAATGCTGTTGCCACAGCTGGACTTTACAGCTTCACCGAACGATAGGGGGTAAGTGCAGATGGCACTCCAAACCCGCGGAAATGCTTAAGGAACGGCTGAAGGCCAACTGACGGATACGACTTTAGTCTGAGGGCACCGCTAGTGGTTCAAACATCGGCTCAGGATATCGTCATTTCTATCCCCGAATCCTATGAATTGGACGGGGGATCGATCGGAATATGTTATCCGTATTGCTGTCCGTGTATATTGGTTACGGAATCTGCTTACCATCAGTTGGGCCGTAAGCTTGTTTGCCATTCCAATCACATATCTAATAAATTTTCTTTAATACGGACAATAAAGATATTATTGCAAAATATTTACACAGTATCGTTAGCTCATATGATTTCGATCATTATGAGACAAAGCATTTTTCTGATGTTCTCAGAAGAATTTATTTTTATACTTAAGGCGTATTAGAATTCCAAGTATCCACATGCTCCTATATTTTTGGATATTCTTTTATCATATTATATCAAAGCGACAATTTGAAGTTAAGTGTTCACTTCTGTGAACGTTTCATTTTTATATAATAAAAAAGAACTAATACAATACTAAAAATATGCGACGTTCTTTTCTTTAACTAAATTTTATTATAGTTATTTGTGTATGGGTATATAATAAAACAAAACAATAACTATTAAAACTCTACGTTTGTGAGAACGTTGGGATAATATTGATTTACATTTACAAGAATGAAACGGATAAAGTTAGTGCACTAACTCTGTGCTGAAAACCGATAATATTTATACTCAGTAGTGTTTTTTTCCGTCGAATTTTATATTTAAATACAGAATATATTTATATAAAAAGTAAAAATTTAATTGTAAATATTAAATACCTTTACTTTAATAAAAATATGTTTTCATTTACATAAGCTGTCCTCAATTGTAGCTTGTAAAATAAATACGCAAGTAGGTATCTACGGTTACGACAAATAAATAAAGTACTTAAATTCAAGGAAATTCTTTTGTTGGCAGCGATGACAGTTAATTGGTAATAATCCTGCACAATCGATATCGTAGAAATCAAATAGATTCCATGTAGTTAAACTTGATCCATTTGATAAATAAAACTAAGGAAATAAAGAAACATTACTGAAGTATAATATTATAATTACTTGGCTTTAATTCTGTATTACTATCAATTAATACATAAACATAACATAATTTAATATTCAATATCTATATTTGAATGTCTTGCTAGCGTGGAATATAAGTATCTTAACTATAAAGATCATATATAATCTGTTATCTCTATAAACGATATTTCATTGAAATCCATGTAGCTCTTTAACGTTATTAGTAGAACTGGCATATAAACGTCTATATAAAACAAACCTTGACATTTTCATAATATTAGTAGAATTAGTTTACGAACTTTGACTGTGACTTTGTTATGTGATAAGGACATATTCATTGACCGGGATAAAAGTAACTTATGTCCTCTGTCCCAAAGTGAGCCAAATCTCATTACGGTGGGTTGAGCCGTTAAGGTGCTAAGGAGTGTAATATACTTAAAAAAATACGTTTTATTAAAAGATTTTTGTAATGATTACATAAATAGTAATTGGTATTGTCAACTGTCGATGTTGAGGTGAACACGCCACTTCATATGCTTACATTTCTCTGTGTACTAAGTATATTAGAATAGAACGTGTCGCGTTATGGACCAGATTGGAAGTCACGAACTTTACGGTTTGAAGTAGTAAGCCACTGGGTCACGATATTGTATGTAACTTTTATATTAAAATAATTTTATTTTACATTCTTCAATAAAGTATATTACAGGTTCCATGATCGTGAATAATGGGCTTATTAAATAGTTCTGAGTGACTTCATAGGTCGGGTAGTTATATTAGCCAAAATTGATTGAGTTCTGTAATGGCTGGCTCATGCGTCATACTTCCAAATGTACGCTGTCTGGGGGACTGAACCACTCATGTTGTTTAATTAGTAATATATTAAGTTGTCAAGCGAAACCACTAAAACGCGTTATTTGTTGTCAAAGATAAATAATATTTAAAAAGAATAAAATAGAAATCATTTTATATAGGTTATATATACTTAATTTCTACTCACTACTCTATGATGCCCATTGTGAGAAGCCTCATAATTACCATCTCTCAGTTTAACCCCTAAAATCTTTCCACTCAGCAGGAAGTAATAAAAAACTCATAATTTTTTATCGAATCCCAAAAGGAAGAGGTAGGAATTCGGCAACATTTTGTGTGTTTATTACACGATATCTTTTAAGTTAGATTAAAAGCCACTGAGATATAAAATTCGTAGTTTTTAGTGTTAACGTAACAAACAATAATGCTAAAATTCCTTATTTAACTGCTCATTAAATCTGGAATCATCAGAATATCAGCAAAAATTTAAAAACTCAAGATTTTTATTAGAATAGACAGTGTGTCTAAAAGTACAATCCTATATTTAATATTATTAATGCTCACCACCCAACATAATGGACTCAATGTTTCATTGCCATAAAAGGCTTGTACGAATTTTCGTGTATTCATTAAAACTCCAACTTCAATTAGGCCACCCCAAATTCAATTAATTTTTGAATAGGCATTGTCATCAAATTTAATAATCAATTTTTTAATTTATCTAAGGGGCAAAATATAAATAGATGCGCCAAATAAATATTAAATTAAGTTACTTAGCAAATTAAATATTGACAAGCTAACTATGTGTCGTTATATATAACTAACTACGTTTTTACGCACCACCTGCGATCATTACTGTTGATTTTTATATAATAGTCTAAAATCATCATATGTTATTCGATAATTACAATGTTTACATGTTAGATAACATGTAGATATATAAATCCCACAGGGGTTGTAGGGCCAAATCCTAAATCTAAGTTGTCAATCACAGAACAAAGAAGTAATTCAAAAATATGATCAAAACGTTACTGATAATTAAATGTGAAAGAGAAATCTTTTCTTTGTTTTTAATTCACTTGTTCCTTTTACAGAGATGGTGGGCGTGAATGGTATAACGCGCAGAGGAACGTCCAGCAGCTATGGCAGCCGGCTGCAGCGAGCACCGACCTGCTCATCATGTACCTCGATTAGGCGAGGCACATTAGCAGTTGGTAGCAGCATCGGTGCCCCAACTCTTCGGCTCTCCACTAACCCACCTGTTCGGGCGGTTTCTGTTCGCACCCACTTCAATTAATTTATTCATCCATCATAAATCCATACTTTATTATGCATTCTATAGTTCGATACGACAATCGTAAGATATGATCGAACGATTTTGAGTGTTCATGTGCAGCATTTATGGAAGATTTTTATAGAAGTTAACTGGCTATGTAAATAATTCTTTATTACTATATCAAAAAAGATATTAAAAATAATAATACAGAGACAAAACTTGTTACATCTAGACTCTAACAAAACAGCGCTGGACTGGGACGATCGTATCCTCTTGTTGTTGCTATGGCCCATCAGCATATCCGATGTATCTCGAACGTTTGATTTTAAAATCAAACGATGAATTATTACCATTATCAGTCCATATACGGCAAATAAAGAATGGTCGTCTGGCAGTGCCTGTCATTAGTCGATCATCCGATTATACTATGCTAAGTACCTGCTCTTTTTCTAGAACTGAAATATTTAATGTGAATGGAATTAATTTAATATAAAACATGAAATGTGTGTACAAACTATTTTGTAAATCTATGTATATGCAAGTTATTATGTTTGGAAAAAGAGACCAGTGTGACCTATGTTAAATTTATAAGTTTAAATTTAAATTAAATTTGTAAAATGATATTTTACATTTTTATTTGCCATTCATTGTATACTATTCTATAAATATGTAGTTCAAACGCACTTTGCTATAAAAAAGACAAGTGAACAATACTAAGAAATGACAATGCAACTGCTTGGAGCGAACTATTCTCGTAACATTACGTATTTCCAGCAGCCGTGTGATGAACACTTCCATATGCACGCTTGTCACGTTTTTAGTATGTCAGAACCGTTTGGATTTTTATTTCGTGCTTCAAGATGCGAATGTACTACGTATGTACGTAGTATACATAAAAATACGTATAACAAGGAATTTAGAGATATTTTTTACTTTTTATTAAGTTGTGATATCCCTGATACTGCTGTTCATGTATACACCCTGATGGTAAGTGCTAGTTATTTCAGACAAGCTTGCTTTGTAAACTGTGGTTATAAGGCAGTGTAATTACACGATAACAGGCATGATATCGTAGTCTCCGGAATGTTCATTCGAATCATGTGTGATGATGTGATGAATATGATAACTTGATTAGTTATGATCATGTATATAGTCTACGATTACCACTGATCAACAGGAGACACGTCAGCTTGTTTGTCATTCAATAAATGTAAAAAATGACAACCTACGTCTACACCCCTCTACAACCTGCCCTACTGCCCCTACTGCCCCTTATGGATTTACGTTCCTGATGATTAAGGTCTTTTGCTTCCGTACTCTACAGTACGTTCCATACTCTTTAAATATTTGTTATTATTATTATTATAGCTGTCAGTATATAGTGAAAATATGAGTAGCCTACTGCTGGGCACGGCCTCATAATCAGGGGTTGCTAGCTTACCAACCATACCGTTGCAACCATACCGGTCCTGGAACTTATTATAATTTTATCTTTTCCTTACTTGCATTATACTGTGCTTTGTTCGCCCTCCGTTTGAATAGAAATGATGACACAATATTTTTACTGCGTCATCGTAACAAAGAATATGAAGGAGTATGATTATATTAACAGCCATTTTGCGGCATGACTTACATTTTTTTATTGAGTGTTTATGTGACTTGTACTATAAATTTAAACCTGTCTGTTCATTGGAAATAATTTTACAGTGCCTCCCTTAGTTTAGTCATAAAATAATAAAGTGAAATATTTAATACAACACATGTTAATTTTCGATGAATATAACAGAAATATGTATAAAATAGCTAAGCTTACATAATAATTTTCGAACGGATACAAATTATTATTTGTGGCCACATAAAATGGATGTTATTTTTAACGGAAAAAGCATAAGCATGTCAATTACTTTACTGATTAATATAAAATACAGAATATTCCATGTTTCGATTACATAGTATTCATGATATAAATAACTACCACAAATTTTAATATTAAATATTAACCGGAGACTATGTATTAAAATCTCACTCTCCATCACAGAAATCTGAAATGTTGACTAACCCACCTAGGACAGAAAGTGCGAGTATGTTTACACTAAATATATTATAAAATTGCAATAGTAATATATCATTTACCTAAAATGTACTTTATATGTTTTTTTGTAATAATACAATTACCTAACGTAAATTGATTTCCAATTACAATTAGAATAATCAAATTCGAACAATGATCTGGATGAAAAACTCTTTCATTCTAAAATCTTATTGAAAAAAAAAATAAAAAAAGGACCTGAACTGCAAATCGGTGGTGCTAAAATGCTATAAAAAAGATTAAATTTATTACTGAATAATTATAATATTAACAGTAATATCACATTATACCATAAAAGATTTCGAATACCAGTAATATTTTCCTGATTAAAAAATGGCCTATTTTAACAACGATGGTAGATATCCACCAAGATTTTGAGAGGTATTACCGCCTGCTCTTCATGGTTTAGTAACAATATATGTTCATAGCTATAATATAATGTTTGTAGTCGTAATACATGGGCGGTCAACATATTTCTAATCAAAATTTATGACAGAATAGGCTCATGAACAAGAGGAGATCCGAAATTACTTTGGTTAATAATTCCTTTACTGCATATTAGTACATAATAAAAGTGATTGCATATAAAGTTAGGGCAAATATTATACTTATTCCATCAATTGAAATCAATAAAGGCACTCTCGTGGGTCGGCAACAAATTCTATGTAGATATGCTGTGAACTTTTATGAGTGATTTTAAATCATTGTGTTACAGTATTTTTTGTATATCTTGTATGTTGAGATTTTGACGCGAACGCTCGACTAGTCAGAGGTTGTCGTAGGCTATTAATCACAAGTAGATGGGAGGAGATAGACTGTTTATCTCAGTGCTTTCTAAATTAGCTTTATGCATTTGAAGAGATGTAATATATGTTTATCATTTAAAAAATTAAAAAGGCATTTTACTTCAATCACAAACTAAACAGAGGCTGTTTTCTATTAATAACAACTGATATTTTTAATATTTTTTGTAAATAGTTACATAAGACTATATATATAATATACATAAGAAACAACCAATATAAATACAGACTACCAAACTCACGAATATGTATATGTGTTTGAAGGAAACTTGTGACTATCAGAAGTCAGTATGCCGTTTTCATGTTCACACATCAGGTTTTCTTTTATTTTCATATCAATTATTAGCCATTCGTTAATTATTTTATGCAAAAACGAATACTATAATACACATATGCTTCTACAAACTCCTTACATTTGTCGTCGTCGCTTTTTATATTGCGTTATGCCTTATATTGCGTTTGTGACCGCAATGTACGTTGCGCAGTTTTCCATTTTTCATCTTTATAGTTTGTCTGTTGGTTCTTGTCAGGCCATTTGTTGCCTTAACTCTTCAATCCATCAAGCTATTTCAATCATTTTATATCTGCTAGATATACTAAGTACAAAGTAATTTGGATCATTTTTTATTTTTTAGTTTTTAAAAATATTTTCTTTTATATTCTCAGTTTATGTTCCACTGGGTAAAAATATTAAAATATTTTATGATCACCATCATACAGAAGGATTATAGCTATTAAGAAAATTTAATTTATTTATTTTCAGACTAATGTGTGCCACGTGATTATGCCAATCTACTTAATTTCTCAATTTGTAGTGCCTTTTTTCTCAATAGTAAATAATTCTAGTTCGATTTCCCTTTTTGTGTGTACAAATGTTAATAAATACTTATGGAATCCCAACATACATCGAGTACTAAACATGGCCTTAGAGAGGTAGACATCGGCCACGTCAACACATCTCCCTAGCGTCCTATAGTTTCATACATAACTAACGAGCAGGTTAGATATATAACCCCGGACAAAATAACGCTTTTCTGACGGGCTCTCCAGGCCTATGGGACCTCAGAGTAGGTACCTACAACGACCCGTGTGCTCTTACCAAAAATTTATGTATTTGTGTCACCCAATATGGAAATCCAACGAATAACCTTACACGAACCTCGCAATCCGCGCTTGAACGTTAATGATTGTAATAAAATTTAATTAATATGTCTAAAATGTGGGCAATTTTAAGGTGTGACACTCTTATACCTTGAAATCTCTTACTGTAAGAGTAATAATGGAGCCATTATATAGCGATGTGAAAGCGTGCAAATTGTTTGCAGCCCCTTTAGTATTGTATTATTATTATTGAAATTATGATCATTTCTTTGCGTTCACTTTGTTCTTATCTATTTAAATTTAATATTTATTTTAGTATTATTTGGATAATTATTAATTAAATAATATTATTTAATAATAATATCTCATCTCATGAAGTCAGGCCAAGACACACAGCGCCATCTATTCCCAAGTTAAGCTAGCCAGAGCTTGTGTGTTGTGGGGACTCTAGTACTGATACAATAACTACTACTACTGATACAAATACACATTACGTATTAATTTACATTTATTATTAACATACATTTAAATAATACTTAATAATGTATTATTTCGTATCGTATTATATTTTAACCATTTCTATAATAGGTATAGGTACATACAAAATATTATGCTAATCAGACAAAATAACAATTTTATCCAATACATCCGTAATAAGCTACATGTCAATCTAAATGGATATAACATTATTAAACTAGTTCATTGCACAGTATGTATAATCTTATTAAATACATGTAGCGATCAAAGGGTGCATAATACATAGAATAGCCTAATACGCTGCCGGTATTAGGCTTAATTAATAACAATTTAATTTGTGTGAAACATGAGAGTACCATTGTAAATAATTTACTATCAATTTACAGAACTTAAATATTGATATTTAAATAAGCAATGTATACAATTGTAGCATTTGAAACCAATACATAATTGAAAATCGCTCATGTTCGTACATTTGTTTAAATAACTTACGTTTGTTCCGTTGTACTTGCTTATTCAATCTTTGCCTCCGGAACTCAAATATCGTTTCG